GTCGACAAAACGAAGCCAACGACCCTGCACCTGCCTCGGTAGCTTCTCTATAATTTTCTTGTGCTCGGCTGGGTCGTCAAGAACCTTTAACTGGCTCAGAGTTGACATGGCTGTTTCGCACTGGAAAAGGAAATCTGAGAGATTACGCAGTCCTTTTCCATCGTCTTGCTTCACGGTCGGCCATTTGCTTATTTTCTCACGATAGGTGCTTGCAGCTAGCATCTTGTTAGGAGTTTCTTCAGTCAGGAGTTTCTTCGCTTTCTGGTATGCGTTCTCACTGTTCAAGGCGAGAAGTCCTTTGATACACTCTCGGGCCTCACCAGACGTGTATCTGCCTAAATAGTATAGGCGGTCGATTGGTGATGTGTAGCGCTGCTCTACCAGGACGGAAAAGGAATTCATCCACACGGGGAAGTCGAATACACTGCCTTTGAAGATTTCTGGTTCTTTCTTAGGCAATTTCTCCTCCCGGTGTGTGAGCACATCTGCCAGTGCTGTGATGGCACTTGCCACATCGTTGCGGGGTACATCACTGGTCTGTGGGGGGAGAACTACGTCAGATGAATCCGACATTCCAGTAGGTGGAGTAGACATAGGGGGTGGGGTTTTAGGGAAATTGTCACCATCATTCTGTGTGTCTCGAAAGGTATTCAAAGTCCCATGTTCTAGTTTGCGAGCACGATGTTGTGGACTATCGTTTGGTGCGTTCTCAGTTTCTGCCTCGGTAAATGGCCCATCAATTATTGGGGGGAGGTCATTTACATCATTCAACTGCTGAGGGGACTCACCATCAAACTTGTCCAAAACTTCAAGTCTTGCGCTGCTCACATTAATCTCTGTCTGGAGTCTCAGCTGATTCGCTCGTCTTTGAAGTTCCAGTCGTGACATCTCTATCTGCTGCATGAGTCGTTGATTTTCCATTTCTAATGTTCGTCTTGATATCTCCAACTCATGTGCTTCATTGATAGCTGCAGACCGAGCAGTAAGCTCTGCTCTCTTCTGCTCCTCTGTTATACGAAGCAGCTCTGTGTTCGAGTGTCTTGAGCTGGCTCTCGAACTGCGACTGCCATGGCTGAGAACTGAAGCCGAATCACCAAGCTGTATATCATCCGTGTCTGACATCTTATCCCAAGAAGAGTTTTTACTGTTGCGGTTGTAGTTAACAACACTGTTTCAAGTTCAACACTGTATATTCCTGGCTTATTTATTACCAAATATGACTGTGGCGATTGCAGAGTTCACGTAAAAACTCTGTCCTCGGGTCCTGGGGTGGAAGGATGATCGAATTATACTGAGTCAAAATACGAGTCAAAAATTTAGGACACAGACATGTGTCATCAATAAGGACCATGAATCTGTGGTAGCAATGAAGAGCGCCCTCATGAGTTGTGAAGAGCGCCACCATGTGGTAAGCTAGGAATAACTCACCAGCAGTTACACTTGGGTTGATAATTGTTGTGAACCCGCCCGAGGGCGTGATGTCTCCCGGGACACTGATCAGCTGGTTGGGCCCGATGGAGGAGAAGATTTGTACAGTGTGCTGCTGGTTCTCGTTGAAGGCCGGCAAGGTGTAGGTTTGCACCCCGAAGCCCAGTATGACCTCCTGCAGATTGGTGCTGCCGTACGGACCGTAGCGGATTATGTAGTTATCTACACCCCCATTAGTGGGCGGGAACCAGTTCAGAGTGACTGTCTTCTCCGGGTTCTGCTCCATGAGCGTCAGGCTGGGCGGCTCGGGAACTGTTAGCGATGAAATATCCAAATAAATGTCCTACTTTTTCATAATTATGGCATTGGCTCACCAGACTATTAAATCAGTTTTATGAAGCAGTCTAAACTGTAGTAAAGTGTAGTAAAGCGTATTGTCCAGAACACAAGCACCATGATTACCATCAAGGTTCAAACTCACATACATTTATCAATTCAAATTAGTCACACATCATAAGCATGGAAGCGGGTGCTCTAATAAATAATTGAGAGTTGATCTGAAGCATTTTTTTTGTAAAGTGTCAACTTAGCAAAATATTGCTATAATTGTTTTAGTTGACGGTACAATTCGTCAGCAACACCACGAAGTAACGCCCTCACACATGCCAGTAAAAACTAGCAATCGGAGAAAACGGCATCTTAAGTTGAACGCCTTCTAAAACAACACTTTGCGTCAAAACGGCAGGTTTCTGGTTGTTGACATTTGATGAATTGAATTAATTAATTAAATCTGCTGTTTTTCCTCCCGTTTGTGTATAAAACCAGCAAGAAATAAAAGAAAAAAAAGGTGAGTGTTAGTTCGTGAAACCGAAAAAGCTGGAAACCTGTAAATTTTCATTTTCAGCTGGTACACAGATAATTTGTAACGCTTTTTGGTTGGACGTGTTTACTTCATGGTCTAACTTTACTCGGGTCCACGTGCCCACAAGCAAAGTGGAGGTACTTAAGAGTTCTCTTTGGTTCAATGATAATATTAAGGTTGGTGGGAAGTGTATTTTTTTATAAACATTGGGAATGTAAAGGAGTTAGATTTGTTTGTGATCTTATTGACGAGAATGGTAATCGTCTTTCTCTCCACGATTTTAAGAATACTTACAACGTACACACCAACTTTTTAGAGTATGGTGGGGTGTTGAGCGCTATTAAGTCATCGTTCAGGGATATTATGTCGGAACACTCTCATATAAAATCTCTTTTTGTTCCGTTCAACCTTGAGGTACTTTTAAAGGACCAAAAAGGATCGCAAAGAATATACAACGTTTTAGTTTCTTCTAAACATTTGAAAAGGGGTATGACGCAAATGGTATGAGGGGTATGACGCAAATGGTATGAGGGGTATGACGCAAATCAAGGTAGAGACTTGCCGCGCTGCGGGGGGCACCGGCATTGCGTGCGTGCAGTACATGCATTGAGACAAACGTTTCTCTGGTCTATTGTTCGGAATCGAGGAGAAATAACACCAATTTTTGGCCATGCCGACAAATTGTGTGGCTGCTGTGTGTAGCAAAACTACCAAAGATGGAGTAAGCCTTCATTTGTTTCCGGTTGATCCGAAATATCGGAGCATCTGGAGAGCGAAAGTGAAGGTTAATACCAGAGCAGTTCGCGGCCCTCTGCAGCGACCACGTTGAGCCGTCGTGCTTTGATGCTGGTCTGTACAGCAACTTTGGCATGCCCTTAAAACACATCGAGTCAGTGTCTGAATCATTAGAACTCTGATTCGAATCGGATGAATCAGTACAATGTTCATCGGATTCACTAAGGAAAGAGGAGGAAGAGTCTTCGGAACTTTCACGGTTATGACGGTCGTCCATCTTTCATTCAACAACGGTGGCACGTCCACATGCAGGTACATGTACCGGTACTACGTACGTGTGCAGATAATGCCACGTACGCGGCGGCTGCACAGAGCACAGTGATTTTTTGCTTAATTTTCCTTTTTAAGTTAACTCTTTTTTTTCTTCTTATTTTTCCCCTCCTGTACGAAAAATACTGACAGATCCAGCCTGGTTAGCAGGTATTTGTATACTATTCTGTAATCTAGTGTGCCCCCATAAAAGTATGGTACTAGGCCCCCCTACTCCTATTGATTTTTGGAGGCCAAGTTTCCGGAGAAAAAAACACACTGTCTACATTTTTTTGCTCCACCTGCAGAACAAATCCTTGATCAGCCCCTGCACAGTTTGGCTTGTAATTCATGTGTGACTATAGCTTGTGATTTGGCTTTCGACTGACTCGTGATTGACTCCAATTTGTGGTTAATCTTGCGACTGACTCGTGATTGACTGACTTACTGAATGACGTATGACTTGACTTGTGACGGACTTGATTGAAACAATAAAAAAGTTATACGTTTGCACAGTTATGACACTTTAACAAATGCAAAATAAAAGATGTTTCTAAACTTCATTTAACACTGTATTCTTATTGTGTTTGACTATATCGAAACTGAATTTGGGCAATCAGGAGAGGGCAGGAGTCTAAAAGGAAACACAATGGCATTTGCCAAGTTTTAGAAATAAATTCCTCAGTCACTAATGTTCTGATCTTTATGATGGTCAGCTTTTAATCAGCTTATATTTTATGGTTATTTCATTTCCTATTTTGTTTGACTCACAAAACAGAACCAGGACTTATACGTGGGGCAGGGGGACACTTGTCCCACCAAGATTTTCATCGGCCAACAAAAGTGCCCCTATCGCGGTTATTAATGTGCCCCCTCGAGATGAAAACAGAACTGCCCCTCAAACGCAAACAAAGTCATGAAAGCATTATGATCGTGCTACCAATAGAGTTGTCTATTGTCTTTTAATGGACAACTGCCCCTCGAGAACCCAAGTGCCCCTCGTGCATTAACAAGATTGTGCACCTTCTCGAGATGGAAAACTACCCCTCTAAAGAACAAATACCCCTCTCGCAATCATAAAATTGTGCTCCTCTCGAGATGGAAAATTGGCCATCACAAGCTATAGACCTCAACTCGTGATAACTTCTCGAGATGTAACACTGCCGCTCTAAAGCAAGATTTTGATAGTGCCCCGCTCGCAGCATTAAAATTGTGTCCCTCTTATGAAAATCTGGCCTTTAAAATTAATAGAGCTCCTCCCCTCTCTACATGTGGTCAAATTCATGGGCGGACCCAGAGAGGTTACTCTCTCGGCGGAGGGTGTGCATGTGCGGAGTGCCGAAGGCCCAAGGGCGGATCCGGGGGGAGGGGCCAGCCCCCCCCCCAAAAAAAACCCCAAAACAAAACAAAAAACAAAACAAACCAAAAAAATAATAATGACCTTTAGAGAAACTTATTCATTTTATTCTATTGAAATTTCACAACGAACCCGAATTACATTGTATTTCATTTTATTTGTTGACTGAAGAATCAATACAACCATAGAGTGCTCAGGCAGCTTCGGGCGCTTCATTGGTGAGTGATTGGTAGTGCGGGGTCGGCACCACAGTGACTAAAAGGACTCATGTTCCCATCACTGATAATAAAGATAAAAACACAAGCCTACTTGTATTTGCTGGGTCAGTCAAGGCGCCCAGTTGAAGCCGCGCTCCCGCAAAAACTGCATCCACCCCAACTTCGTACGCGAGCCCGGATGGCAGCCCCGTTATCGTATACGGTGCCGCGGCGCTGGCAACGTCTACGAGGATCAGGCTTGTGTACGATCCGTCCTGGCTGATAACGTTGACAAGGTATCCCTCCGCAGTGTCAGTGAGGGCAGTGTTCCATGAAACCGTTATGGTGTGCGCGGAGGCACCGTTTAACTCCACATTCTGTGGTGTTTCTGAAAAAAAGTGAAAAGTTTTTGTTTGAATAAAATGTCAGTACAGGCCTCACAAAATAATATTGACTAATTTGGCGACAGCCATTTTCAGCGGTGGCACCAGGCCTGCGCAAGTTGCCATCATATAATGATAGCAAGTTACCAAAAGTGATAGTTACCAAAATGTATGTGGCGTGCGCGTGAGCATGAACCACTGCAAACAAAAATGGCTTCTAATTTCGGTCAGATAATTACATTATGCATCATTATGTCTAACACTTAAATCGTTATTTTTCTATATCGATTCACAATCAAATGACATTTTTGCAACTGCTAATTTTTGTGGGAGAAGGTTTGGTTCCAGATAAAGGACATCTTCGTCCTCAAAAAGTTGTTTTGATGAATGTAGCCAAAATTGTAAACCAACAGTTGACACGGTTATTAGGAACAAATAGTGGCATTACAAATTCAACTGTTTGGATTTTCGTATAGGTTACAATTCACTACCGCCCGAGTGGCCACTGAGTTTTTTAAGTGCAAAATCTGGTTCGCAACTGCTTTGTTTATGGTGGAATTTTGATTTCAGATTAAAATCGCCTTCATCCTCAAAAGTTTTTTTGATGAAATAGCCAAAATTGTAACCCAACAGTTGGCACAATGATCAAGAGCCAACGTTCATGACCACGAAACAAACTTTGCTGTTACGAGCACACCTTTCGTCGCTCCAAATTGTATGTATAATTTGTCTGAACTTTGGCTTCCAAAATTACAAGAGACTCCTCTAAGAAATAATCTTTTGTGAACAACATTGTCTTTGCAATCCTTGTTACTGTAATTGTACAAATGACCAAGTAAGAAAACAAATATAATAAAATAAATGTGGCTTGCTTATTGACCAATAACTTTATAATTTCACATAAATTGCATCCACCAATGATCATATACAAATACACATGTATTGATAAATACTCTTTAAATATAATGAACTAAACATCCACGAAAAAGAAACAAAAAATCCCCGTTCTCATTTCCGAATGAGACTCAATTGATTCATCATGTAAACAAAAATAAAATCTGACAGTAAAAATAATGTTTTATCTCGATTCAAATTAACTATCATTTGAATGTGAATGCCTGTGTGTAATATCTAGGGCCCACTCGGTTAGATAGCCCCAAATCATTCAGCATTGAATGGACATCTTAAAAACAATGGGTTCATTTTGTAAAACATGCATAGCTTCAGAACCTTAAGGATCAATTTCAGTAATCATTGGTTTTCATTCATTGGAGGTGTATCACATTTAATTGCTTTTTAAGGGTCAAACAAATCATGAATGATGGTCACTCTCTTTTTGGCGCACACTGTATGGGTACTTACTTGTGATACCATTAGCCACGCCAGCATACTTGCTCTCGCCATTTACAATTTCATCCAGGACCAGTTCGTAGCTCGTGCCTTCGGTAAGACCCACCAGAGTGAAAGAGCTGTCTGTGGGCGGGATGTCGTTGACGAGTACCGCATTGCCGGCGTTGTCCAAGACGGTTATTCGGTAGCTCTGTAATCCCTGGGTTGTGCTGGGAGACCAGGCAAGGTGCATGCCGTGGTCGGTGATCGCCTCGAGTTCTGGATTGAGCCCAGTTGCAGCTGCAAATAGAGAAGGGATACAAAACAAAAATATCACGCAGCTTTAAAAAATGATAGAAAGTAAACTATTGGGATTTCTTTGTTATTTTCCTACACTGGTTCATTGTAACTGCAAAGGAAAGTGCTCCGTAGACAAGGGCGGATCCAGAACACAATTTTTTGGGGGCCAAAAAAAAATTTGTCCCCCAAAAAAGTAGGTGAAAAAAATTACGGTGTGGGGTTCGGGGCCCGCTTAAGGGCTCCGAAAAAAATTTGGATTCTAGATGCTCTGTGGTGCGATCTGAGGCACTTTCTGACCACTTTAACCATGTTTTTTTAGGAAAAGATGGCGGTTTACTCATTGCCTGCCTTTATTGTGATGTCACATTAAAAAAAAAAAAATGGTTTCGTTTTTGGGGGGGCCATGGCCCCCTTTGGCCCCCCCCCCGGATCCGCCCTTGTCCGTAGAATGTGTGACTTCCCAGCATTTATTCTGTGTGAATACACAAACGTTGAGCATATTTCATCTTCAGCGATTTTTGCTGGGACTGCTGGTAAGACCAATACAATGTGGCACTGGAGCCCAATAATCGCCAGTGTGGGACTTGATCCTAATTGTTTGAAATAACTTAAAATATTTGTCCACAATATAAGTACAGATCATTTTGAAGACATTCCTTTCCTGAGTCATATTCAGCGTGTGTGGCTACAAATGTATTTTCATATTAAAGCTATAGTCCATCATTTGCAGCCATCCGAAAAGTAACTGGCGTAATTATTGTTGAAAAACAAACTTGGTCGAAAGATAGTAAGGGAACTTAACTCCCTGTGAAATTATTCTTTCTGGGAAGCTGTCATTTTGAAGTAATCAACAAAAGAAGGCATTTCCAACGGTGATTCTTAAGAAGCACCGTAGGAAAATTTAAATTAATAGTTCGTTTTGTTATTCAGCGCAGCGCGCACAAGGTTTGGAACGACGCACACGCGCGCGCGGTTGTTATAATTCGTCGGATCAGTGCGCTACGTCGCGTATAGCTGCAATTCAAAACAATTCAAAACATGATTCAGTAACTTTCGATTTGAAATTGAGATCTTAGAATGCTGTTTTTCTCGGAATATACAGCTGAAGCTTAGCTGAAACTTCATCAGGTTAGTTGCTCAGTATCCTTCATTAGATTTTGAACTCTTTTGTTGCTTCAAACGAACAAAATGCACAAATTACAAATGATGGACTATAGCTTTAAAAGTGACTCGTGATTGCACTAGGACTTGGCAGTTGTGACGCGTGATTTGCACGAGGACTTGGCTTTTGTGACTCGTGACTCGGACTAGGACATGGCTGTTGTGACGCGTGATTTGCACTAGGACTTGGTTTTTGTGACGCGTGACTCGAACTTGAACTGGACCTGTCTGACTCAGGACTCGGACCAGGCCCTTGAGAGGGAGGTAAGTTGGACTCGGACTTGGACTCGATGTTTGGTGACTGGTATACAAGTCTGGAAAGCATCCTACGTCCCCGCTTAATGTTAGGGACTGGATAAATAATTATCAGGTACAAAATCAAAAAGCCATTGTTAAATCAAGCCTAGGAGGCATCCAGCACTGACCTGGTAACACAAGACTGAGATCGGAGGTGTCGCTCTTAACCTCAATGTTTCCCGTGTTCACAACATTCTTCAATGTGTAACCATAAGTCACCCCATTCTCCAGGTTGTCCAACATGACCCCTGTGGTTCCCGGCGCATACGTGGAGACCCTGGTTGACCCCCTTGAGGTGTGATGATTATCTCATAGTAGCCCACGGGGGCTGGGGCTGCGTCCCAGGTCAGGGTTACCGTGGTTGTGCTCGTCCTGTGCAGGATGCCGTTCGATGGCGGGTACGGCACTAAAAAAAAGAGAGGGAAAATGGGAGAAAGTGGACCAAATAAATAATACTATCGCAAATTATTCAATTAGGAGAAACTTTAGAGTCAATGTTATACCTCTGGGAGATCGATTGCTTGTTGTCCAATTTGTAAAGGTACCGGGTTATATTCGATTATATTAATAATTGCAGTTGACCACGTTCTGCATACTCGTAGTATTGAAAACAAGAATGATGAGCTTTTGGAGTTCTTGTAGATTTCGTAGACTTGGCTGACTCCAAATGACCCGGATGTTGTTGCTTATTTAGTTCCATCAATCTATCTCACTCACCAGTGTAAGTATCCTCAAAAATATTCACTGCCACTGGCAGGCCATCCACTAGTATGGCGTCCAGTCTCACCCTGTACTCTTCGGCCACGTTTAGCCCTGGGAAGGTGTGTGTCGCACCAGCCACTGCGTCAACTATGGCTTGATCTATGGTAGTACCTGCAGGCTGCTGTAGGGTGATCACATATTGCCCGACGTTGTCAGCAGGATTGGGTGCGTCGGCCCAGCTTATGGTAATAGATTCGTGCGTCGGTACAGCAAGCACGGCATGGGGCAACTCTAGCAGAACGAATATGATTATGGCACTTAAGGAATGTAGAGAATATCAAATTGAAATCGTAGACCTTTTGCATATACATTTTAACTATACCATTCATTAGTCTATTAACTATACCATTCATTAGTCTATTAACCTAAGTTGTGACCGTCTATACAAAGTTTTACAGTTGGACCGGTCCAACTATCGTTGTCCGGACTCAGCATAGATCAACTTTGGGCGCAACTTATAGTATAATATTTCGACTTACTTCACTCAAAGGTAGTTTGTTTATTTGGAACCAGACTCTAGTGCACGGCTGCACAGCTGGTTACCAATAGCCAGAACCGGTCACTACATCATGACCAGCAGAAAAGTCAGGATCAAGAAGAGATGACGTTTTGATCAATTTGTTTTGTTTTGCACTAGAATGCAATTAGGTAAATGCAAGGACAAAGGTTCATGACAAAGTAATATACAGGGTGTCTAAAATAAAAACCGAACCCTAAAAGGCGTCCTCAGCTTCTAAACAAATAAAACGCAAATATTTATACATATTTATAGAGTATAATCCATTAGCTTTTCAAAAACGAATAAGTTATGGCCAATTAAGTACCACTTTTTCATTATGTCCACGGCGACTGATATTTTGACTGCCGCATTAAGATTACGGACCGAAACTTGCATTGTGAAAATTGTTACCTAAAGTAGAGGGCAGAGACAGAGCAGCAAAGTAAACATCTAAGAAGTGAACCAAACAGTTCTTTTCAGAATTACTTTCAGGTAATTGACCATTGCTGCCCCCCCCAAAAAAACCCATAAAATGAACAAAATATAAAAAGAAAGATTAAAATATCGAAATAGCGAAATTACTCTCACCCCAGATATCTTACATTCCTAACAAATGACAACTGAATCCATGGACAGATTAAAAAATTGCCACTTATATTAACTTGGCCATAACTTAATAAATATTTACCCGATTTGAAAGATACTTTCGTTATTTGAAATGCATACAAGTATTAATTCATTGTTTTTAAGGTAGTGAAAAAGAGGACGATTTGATGGTTCTTTTTGGACACCCTGTAGGACGTTAATATATGCAGCTTTAAGATATCATGACGTATCATGACCCATGATGACGTCATCATGATGCCACCCCATATTTTGTCTGCAACACGTCCTCGACTATGAGTTCATACCAAGTTCCAAAAAGAGTGACTAACTGTCATTTAGATGTAAAATCGTAACATTTACACCTTTAAGATGACGTTACATGACCACTGATGACGTCATAATGACATCACTTTTCTAATGCCAACTTGACCGTGGCGTCTTTGTGCCTAAATGAAAGTCAATTTGGACAAGTAGAGGAAAATGTAAACATATTTAAAAATTAAGTAACAAATCAGGTGATGACGTCAACATGAGGTATTCCATTTAACGCCTGGCTATTGAAAGTGATACGTTGTTTTAATAGCTTAAAATGTATGTTTAATAACAAACTATTTTTGTTTGTTTAAATAACTGGATAACTGGTTGACATCATCATGACGCCTATCAATTTAATCAGTAACGCGTGTTTACTTAGGTTCATGGAACTTTAAATCGGACTTTATTTCTAAAGATACTTGGGTTTATAAAATATAATAAGATATTAAACATATATATTCTATTATTAATAAAACAAATGATAAATGTATATAATGCGGTGTTTTTGTGAAGGCAAATTATTGTGGTTTAAAGTTTTATACAGATAAGCCTAGTTTAATGTTATTATAAGTTACTTTCAGCGTCAATCTGGTTATAAAAGTCATCTCATCGACAATGATAAAAAGGGTTCTTTTATGGTTGGGGCTTGGCCCCCCCCCCCCCCCCCCCCCCCCCCCGTGAATCTGCTTTTTAGGGATACCCTTTTTTTGCATAGAAACTGTTCGTGCATCGCTTTTTATGTTTTTATGTCAAACGTTAACCTAATGATAATTGAGGTGCGCAATTGTTAGCCTTGAAATAGAACTAGCAATCATAGTAAAACACTGAAAACAGCATAAACACATTTCGACGCTTTCAGCCATGTAACAAGCCTAGCCGGCACTCTTATGTGAAAAAAAAGCAGAAGCCGAAAATCTTTGCGTTAGGCTCAAAAGTTATACCCTCAAATTATCGTATACTCAAATTATCATATAGCTCAGTGTGCCATGAAACTGAGTGACTGAAGACATTATGACACTGCATCTTGGGGCTTCGGATTCTGAGTATTTCAGATAAAATTAGGCTCAAAAGTGGCGCTATTTAGCTATGTTGTGGCTGCGTTTTATGGGTAAGCCAAAAAACAGGAACTTGGCTTTACGATTGTGTATTCTTTTTCCAGCAGCGAACAACCCTCCAGGCGCAATTATAGAATATACATGTCTTTGTATTTATGCAATCAATTCAGGATATGAGTTAATCTAACTTGGCATATTTTTTTTTCTTCTGGACAGACTGTTTCGTACCGTAAGGCACTTCTCAGCAGAATTACATAGATTATAACACCACACCCAAAGATTCTGTGTCCTGATTGGCCGAAAGCGAGTCACATGGTACTTTGTATTTTTTCTATCTTTCAGCGCGAGGCCAAAAGTACTATACCAATAGCAACCGAAGTACTATACCGTAGCAACCAAAGTACCCATACGCACTGTGTGCAAAATGCATAGGCTTGTGTGTGTTGTGTGTTAAGCGTTTTGTTTCCAAGCGCCAGCTTTAAGTGGTTGTTAGAAAAAGTGCAATTTAATTTTCGTATTCAAATAGAAGTAAACAATTATTATAAGATTTGAGGCCTTCCATAGTGGAGTATCGGTATCGTTTCGGTTTGCGGTAACACCATGTGGTAATAACTACTACTTAGAAGATATTTAGTTCTGAAAAGAACTTGTCCTGCTTGTTATCAACTTTCACTAAGTAGTTTTTGTTCTGATAAGAACAGTCCTGCTTTAATTTCTAAAAGAACTTGTCTTTGGTCTCAACGTTTCGATTAGCCTGCTCTAGTCATCGTCAGGAGACTGACGGTGACGTAAACTTCTAAAATTGGCTACTGCCATTTTTTGATGGATTTTTTTGGGGAGGGGGGGGCGCTAGACAATTTTTAAGGGGGGCCTAATGCCCCTAAGGCCCCCCCGTAGAACCGCGACCGCAACCCTCGCACTTGGCCCGGTGGTTTAAATCCTTAGGTGCGAAAGGTACCGAGTTCCGTCACCCGGTTGGCACTTAAGATTTGCTTTTTTGCTATTTTTACTGGTTTCGGTCACACAATTTTTCTTTGTCGGATTTGTGTCTCCGGAGGATTTTCTTCTTTTTTGTTGAGACTCATACGACATAACAAAATCTTGAAATTTGAATAGAATCAATTGATGACTCTGTGATGGGATGCCTCCATTGATCATGTATAGCTTGACTATTTACCAACACAGTCGTAGCCGATGCAGATTGTTGTACTTCAGATATAAGACTGTGAAAAATTCGCTTTAAGATGGCTAACCCTTGAATTTGATGAAGTCATATGCAAAAAAAAAATGTTTAAAATTACCTGATGACGTTATCATGACGTCACCTCAATTTTCATCCATTATCCCTGTCTACCTACATACCAAGTTCCAACCGAATCGGACTGACGTACAATATTATGTAAAATCTTAATATATACCCAATGTACTGATGTAAATGCAATGTAATTATCTAGAGGTTTTTAATTAAATTTTATCGGCGATCCCGACTTTAGTTACAAACATAAGAGAATAGTAGAAATAAAAAGAAACACTATTGAAGGAATCAAACTTACGAATGTTAATATCAACTGCAGGTAAAGCCATAAGTGCGGCAGCAGCACTTCTGACTGTCCCCTTCACCGTATGGAAGGAATAGGCTACGACGTTGTCCTGGACCAAGTACCTCAAGGATGTCTCGGTTTTCGCGATCTCGTCGCTCCCAACTTCACTTCCACTGGCATTGTAGTAGACAGAAAGGTAGGCGTCAAAGTCCCCATCTATAGCCTGCCACTTGAACTCAACCACCAATGTTCCCAGGAACTGTATTGTGACCCCAGTCGGGGTGGGCGGAACTGATTGCGCTTATGGAAGAAAAAAAACATGTGTGTACTGTTAGCATCTCACATGTACTCATAAACGGCCGCCATTTACAATTATTCTTATACATAGGCGTAGCCAGCGAGGGAAAGGGGGTATTTTCCCTCCCCCAATATTTTGTAATGCCCTTTTCCATTCAAATGCCCTTTTTCACCAGCGGCAACCCCAAATATATTTGTAAAGAGTGCCCTCTTTTGTGCCATCGGCCGTTGCTTTTGTCTTTATTTTTTGAATTGCGCGCGAGTATCGCCCTGAAAAGCACCATATACACATG